CCATGATAAGTTTTATCGTTTTTCCCTTCTTTATCACAATTTTGGCTGATTTTCACTGTTTTGTTTGCTTTTATGACGGAAATAGGTTGATAGTGAAAATACTAGCTGTCCCGAGGGTTGTAAATATTATGTATACACTACAGATGATTGTAACACATGCCAAGATGTTATATCAGCTTCTGCAGTTAGATATATAAGCCACCAAATCATTATATTGCAGGAAATAAATCATAATCATGAGGAAGAGGTATATATATGTGAACACTTTACCGGAGACTAAGCTAACATTATTCCAATGTTTAAGCTGCCGGTATTTTTGCAAAGATAGCTAACAGCAGAAATAAGTACTATTATAAAGCGGTTACGAGAAAGCATTGAATAGCACGATTCAACAATCAAGATATCTTGATCTCAGGTGACCAGATTATCTGAGATCGTATGTGATGATTTCCGAAAATCAACCAAGGCCTGTCTCGCTTAAGTGCTGATGCCGTAAATGACAATTACTTATAACTTACGTGGGACTAAAATTAAATAGGCATCAATAATCGCAGATTACATAGGACGATTCAAAGTAAGTTCACATAGTAGTCTTTATATATGTTCATCGTCTAAGTGTCCGAATTGAAACCTGTCCAAAGAATTAAATAATGCAAGCCGTGTATGTTGCGACCCAAGCTTTCCTAAGCAACGCAAGAGATGAAGCAAATAAGCGTGATTGACTATCCAAAGAAAGAGTGTACTAAGTGCACTTCCGATCTGTGATTGAACGCCGGTTTCTGTTTTTATACTAGTTTCTGGTAAACATTTATACTGCAATAACTATTTCCTGTCTATCTTATTTCCAGGTGGCTTCGGAAGTGTTCATAAACTTAACGGGAACGATTCTTAAGAATTGGAAGTTATTTATTAATGGATCATTTGCGCTGGATCCATTTATAACGCATCAGTTTTTTAATTACGGCAATGCTTATCTGTCGTGACAGGTCGAAGTTCGAACTAGTAGTATAGTTCACCATGTCCAAGGTTGCAGTATTTGAAAAACGGTCTGTATGACTAATCGCGTATGCGCCGAACTGGTAATTATTACACAATAACGCGAAACAGCATCCCTGTCTCACAGCCATATAAGACTGTACAGTACACTCTCCCAGCCGTTACTCCATAAGAATAAGTTAATGGCCATATAAACAAATTTATGTAAAACTAAAATGATTACAATATTAAAATTTCTTGTTATCAAGAAGCATAGCTATGGTCAGTGTTAACAATGGATTCTGACGATGTAGCTTCATTATTAGCACCGATTGAACCCATCACTTGTGCGCATGTCTTCCGATGAGACATGAACGGATGAGTTTACTTGCCAAACGTTCACTAAGAGCATGGACTGAGTGATAGTTGTTAGTGAACTTCTCTAGCAGTTCATCACTCCCTGTAGAGATTGACACGTTGTCCATCGCACGAAGAACCAAGTCCATTATGTATTTCCTCGTCCACCGGTTGCTATATCGAAACAAGTCTACAAGGCTTATAGTGACAAAGGAACACACACTTACCTCCACGAACTAGATCTTTGGGATGCGCATACAGAATATGACCACAGGACAGGATGTGGTCATTGAAACGCTCACAATACATCGTGTACGTGAAGTATCAACAACATATATCATACCCTTGTCGCAGCACCGGATATATTCTCCTATAAACTTGTGTCTCATTGTCCTAAGACGTTTATAGTTTACAGCTACAATTTTGGATGCAAAAGATGTGAACTCATTTAAAAGAGGTCAAAATGACATTGGAACCTGGAATTAATGATACATTTAACTATATTTCATACCTGAGAATTGGAAAACGTTGAAGATCTTTTACAGCGTCATATGGACTCAAACTTAGGTCAGTGTCTGTTTTACTCCAAACTTTCCAGAACGTCAGTAACAGAGCATCAACTCTTCTGAGACGTTCTTTTAGGTGTTTGGGAGCACTTTCGACACGGTTGTTTGTATGGTTGCCCAGGCTTAATACATGACCCCGGTAACAGCGAGCCCACACTGACTTCTGGGCAACCCAGTAATCTTTTATATAATCATGCACCCGGAAGAAATGGGTACTTAGATGTTCGTACTTCTGGGTAAATCTGAATATAATGCGTTATGAAAAGCGAAACTCATATGTCAGACCGTCTAGTCTTCACAAGGTGTTACAAGCATTTGCGTACATCAGGATTTTGGAACTACAGAAAATAATTTGTACAATTATCACATACCTTCTTGAACAATGCTTTTAGGACATGGAATGAACAAAGTACTATGTTAGAATGACTGTGAGTAGACTGCACTGCTGTAATTTCGGTCGCTGCCGAATCCATAACGAAAGTTCGTGTATCATAAGTACCGCACATTATGTCATTAAAGCATTCCAAAAGTTTTACATTTTCGCGTCGTTCTTGCCTGCGAATAGCATACATAACAGTATGCCCTTACCCAAGACTATCAGTCAACACTAGCTGGAACAGTGGAAAACTTTAAATTTATTACTATTCGTTACTTACCCAACTTTGTTGGTCTGATAAGTCGGATCAATACATTGTAGCGGTAAATAAATCCCCAAAATGAATAGCTCTGTAGGTTTTCGGCATCGAGTGCTGGCCACATCAGTTTCAATGGACTCACCTAGCTGAAGAGGCTCGGTCGTGCATCCGCACCAGATCGCGAGTGGGAACGACGTGCTTAACAACCCCTGCAATCGCTAGTCAGATTAGATCAGACGATCTTCGATATATTGATAGTCTATCAAATATGTCTTCGAATTTCCTCGCTTCTGTCTTTGATTTCACTTGGTGGGTACGATTCATATTAGGTGTTACTGGTTAAAGCCTTGTAAAATTGAATACATGTGGCATCTTCACTTTTATCATTTAGCTCCCATTTTAGTATTCCCATGCATCTGCGTCTAGTTTAAAAAGAAGACATAAAAACAGAGTTAGTGTCTGATGAACTAAAAGTCCCAGTTGTCAAAAAGATTCTTAACATTTGTCCACAGATATCTGCATTTAATTGAGACACAGAACACCCATCTTCTAAGACTGTATATTGCCATTTTGCAGGCAAGTAAAAGCTCAGACGCTTAGCAATCCTTCTACCGGTGTTATTGCCGGGGAAATCGTTTGATGACAGTAATCTTGAAATATGGTCAGTGATAGATGTACAATCTAGAAATAAACACCAAACATACTTAAAGCTATCTTATAATGTATGACAGCAACAGTGCCAAAGGCATTTCTCTCCTATTTTCAATCAGGCTGATTTCAATCAGTATACTCATTAGAAACAGGCAGCTCTACTTACTAAACTGATCTGTTTCGTTACAGGCTTCAAGCACTATACTTAAGTATACCATAATTCTTTCGACTAAACTGAACTATACGACAACCAAGAATACTAAACTAAGCAAGTGTCATAATTATTGTTTCATTTGCACAGACATGTTGCTCAAAGTAGTTAAATGGACATAATTAAGCCGATAAAACCAAAACACGAAATATAGGCCAGTCGAACTTACCTAACAGAAGATAAAGGATATATATTGCTTTCCGGCTGAAGACAACAGTCAGTTGTTCATAAAAAAATAGTTTACGGTACAACAAACCTTTCTTCAGTAACATTATGCTCTCATGGTCTATCTGGAAACAATCAACTATGTGATTAAACTCACTGACTTGGGATATCATCCCAGCGTGCAATGAACGTACAGTGTAACGCAGTCAGACGTTGCGAATAAAAATTAAAAACAGAGCAAAATTAACAACATAATGTAGTTATTTAATTAGAAATACATTATGAAATGACAACATCTGTGGTTACTTGAACGCACAGATGACCGTTATTACACTGGGCGATACATTGAAATCTAAAAATGTATTGATTCGACCGCTTCCGAAAAACTTCACGTATTGTCAATGTGATGCACCAATCATCTCGCGAAGGTTTGACCTTCAAGTGCTCGCAACCTCCGTCAGTGGACGAAACCTCTGAAGCATTGGGTCGTCGGTATGTTATGCGTTGCCTGCTTTTACCACATATACCAGTCGGTGTCCATGTATGTACCAAGATTTTAGTTAAACATTCCTTGTAAGGCTATGCCACACTTATAGTTTGCAAATCGCTAGCTTAGCAAACGTTTCATAATTCTTGCATGGTTAGGACCCTGATTTATCTCAATGTTAGCTAATCATTTTAAACTGAAATCTCGATATTTGAGTGATCGTCCAAATTTGTCTGTAAGTAGCTGATTTCTCGTTAAGCCCAAAATGGTACATATGCGACCTCAGTTATCAGCAGCCTAAAAACTCGAGACATTCAGTCGTTTAGTTTTTGCCGTGTCATTTAACACGGTGATATCTCTGTGGTGAATTTCAGACAAATACTTGTCTGGAATTTATAGCCGTTAATGGCTAACCAAATTTATATCCCTCAGTCGGGCGAAAATGTCTAAGAATGAGAGTGAAAGCAATCGTAGATGGCAAGACATGTATGTGTATCTCACGTTGATTTAGTTGTAAGCTCTTCAGACCAGCCCTCAGACAGTATCTTAAATCATAGTAACGAAATTTCTAACTTGGTAGTCTGTCGAGAAGTAATAATCTTAAATTATTTGATGGTTTTGTCAATTGCCTGAATTATTACTCCATGTATCTATGCGTAATTCTGGTCTCTACACTTTCGTACCAAATCCACTTAAATGAAGGCTAATATTACTGATTATTTATGGACAATATGGTGCAGAATTTCATTTCATGATCTCATGCTGTATTACGACTCAACCTGTAGGTGTAATTTAAACTAAACTGCTCGCTAAGGAATCTTGTTACTCGAAAAACACTTACCACTGTTTTATAGTTGTCGATAACTATTGAAATTTGTACTTATGTTGCTATTTCGATTTTTCCTTGATCTGTAGTTGAGTCTGTACTACATATTACGTCGTGACGTTCGAAAATGTTACTTCAAGTTTTAATTAAAGGTGCTCTGCGATACAACCGATCTCCTGTCTCAAACTTATGTCGTCATTATGCAGCTCATGTACAGCGTCCGGCTCCTGACTTTTGTGGAACGGCAGTGGTGGATGGCCAATTTAAAGAAATAAAACTGAGAGATTATGCTGGCAAATACTTAGTCCTCTTTTTCTATCCTCTGGATTTTAGTTTTGTGTGTCCAACTGAGTTAACTGCATTTTCTGATCGAATTGATGAGTTCAAAAATGAAGGAGTTGAAGTCGTTGGCGTTTCAACTGATTCACATTTCAGTCATCTCGCTTGGATAAATACTCCACGTAAAGTAGGACTATTTTGTTCTTGACTAGTAAATTTACCATAATTGATGAAATTACGAGCGGTTGGTGTGAGCTACTTTAATGAGTAATTCTAATACAGATTAATTCAAGCTGGATGTTGATTTACTTTAGTTCTGATCATAGAATCAAGCTAGTTTGAAGTATTGTGAAAGATATTTGTATTAGTTTCTTATGTATTTCTTTTCACAACAGATTATTCTCTTGGGTTGTGAAGGATAGTATGTTCCTAAAACATAGTTCAGTCTTTCCATGCCTAGAGTGTATTAACTTTCCGATTAATTCATGCAGTATATGATAAACAGTGATCACAATGTAAAGTTGTAAGTAATTCATCTTAAGGCTAAGACACTATATTCGTTTTCTGTACAGTTTGGGAGGACAGACCGACTCATGGTGATGACTCATGAATTCTATTCTGTGTAGAAAAAACCCAGGTTGTATGCGTGTAAAACTCGAATAGTGTTACACAAATGAGCTCATCTTCAGCAATCAGTTTTAGTTTGTGATATATCCCCGTTACTTAGTTTATTCAGTCGGTCAGAAACAACGTAGAACTTCGTACGTACGTACATCAGTTTATTCAGTGCATTATTAACTAGATCTACAAATATCACCTACTGTAAGGTTTTCTAGGTTGTCATAACTCCTATCCATCCGTGATTTTTAAAACTGTCTTACTGTTTCTTTTAATCAGGAAGGTGGTTTAGGCTGTCTACGCTATCCACTCTTGGCAGACTATCAAAAACAAATTACGCGTGATTATGGGGTCCTTCAAGAAGAGTTAGGTGTTGCCCTTCGCGGCTTATTTATAATTAATCCTGATGGTATAGTCCGCCAGATTACTATTAACGATCTTCCTGTTGGAAGATCTGTTGACGAAGTTTTGAGATTGGTTAGAGCCTTCCAGTTTACAGATAAACACGGTGAAGGTAACTTTCTGGGATCATCTTTTCTTGGTTTATACACATTCATTTTATTTTATTACAGAGCTAAACCCAGTCAATAAAATTCGCTAGCTCAAAATAATTGGAAATTGTAGTTTGAGAATTATTCAAAATATTTACATTCACAGTCCACTGATCTTCGAACCATCTTTGTTTAATCGTAAAAAGATCTCCCTTTGAAACCATGTAGTTACGATCAGGACTTGTAATTATTTTGACCTATCAATCTTTATATGTTCATGAACTAAATTATTAAGGAACATGAACAGTTCGATAATACAGATCAATCTAAAACTCGCCCCCTGAATAAGAAAGATGGTTATCTTGTGTTTAACTCACTGTAGGTCGGTCACATTGCTAATTTGTATTAATGCAATCAGTATCTAGTCATTCACCGGTAGTTTTGTCGCAATTTAACATTTTTATTGGTATAACAATAGATACTAGCTTGTTCAGCAATACTATTCATAAGTGTTTCTGTTACTAATCGCGCTAAGCACAATATTATGAATTAATTTAAGTTAAGAATGTTAGTCACTGAATAGCAACTCAGTGGTCGATAGACCTGAAAGTTCTGTAGTCGAGTACACTAATCTAGGTGCTATTTTGCATTTATGCATCTATATCTCAAGAGTTTGGAAATAGATGTGGTCCGTAAGGTCTCGAATTAATGGAGATCAGTCATTGAGGAGCTTCACTCTGTTACAATAATGCAGTAGTATTCACTCGTAATTTCAAGCCAATCGGCTACTATGTCATATGTATTCGTATTAGCGACCTTACGTATATCATTTTCTAAATAAACTTTCGCATTTCCATAAAGTACTGTTATCCTCCGCTGATTGTTTCTTTTTTTATCTGCGATTACCCGTTTGTTTTAGTTTGCCCAGCAGGTTGGCAACCAAAAGGTCCAACAATAAAGCCAGATCTGAAAAAGTACAAGGAGTATTTTCATAAGGTTAATTAAATGTATCATTGTTCCCTGTGAAGTCAAATTTAAACCTGATACAGACATGTATTAATACACGTTGGTTCATATTCAGAATATTATACATAGTACACTGGTATTCATTATGTAGCAACAGTGTTTATGAACTCATTTTCTGTTTTCTGTAATTTTCTTGATTATATCAAATAAAAATATTAAGAAGCACCAGTTTTTAAATTTATGATACTGCACAGCAAATAAATATTTTAGCGTCATTCCATAAGATTGTTTGAAAAAGAAATATTGATGAGGAAAAGGATGATCTTAAGTGAGTGAGATATTAAAATGTAACTGGAATTATCTGTCACAATAATTTCTTATGCATAAAATATCTTGTGACACTGTTGAACCTTTAAAACTGTTGTGTGTTTTATAAGCCGAGATAGATGGTGGTTAGCAGTGAAATCTAGAACGCAGGTTCCATCCTATTCGGGGCTCGTGAGCTGGATGTACGTGCATCCCAGCGTCGATGTTCACTCCAGGACTCGAACCCAGTACCATTCTCTTCAGACACCATCGCGTTATCCATATGGTTGTTGTATGTTTTGTATTATTTAGTTTATATACGATTAAGAGCAACTAAGGCTCGTTAGATAAACTGCCTCAGAATCGGTCACAATGGCACAAGTGTGTTCACTTTTTTTCCTCCCTTAGATCTTTAGTTTTAACATTGTCCTGTACTTTTCAGCCCTCGAAATAATTTTCATCAGATCATATTTATCAATGTCTAATCTTCTTTGGTATCGCTAATGCTGCTATCACTTCTTCTATGATTGGATTCTTGTCAGCAGTTTTATTTCAGTGTGCTGATATATCAGCATATATATATATAGTATGTAAACTTGAACGGAATAATACTTTTGCCACGTTCCATGTTACTGATAACTCATAAACTGGGAAGTAAGGATATTGAGCAGAAAATAACTTTTATTAGGACAACATATATACGTGAACATTATTGTCTTCCGTTGGATCCTTATCAGGCTTTAATATACAGTATTTATTTATTTTACTTATTTCAACACATAAATATTGGTACAAGAGGATACCAAATATATATGCGCCACACCATACTTGTGTGTGTGTGGGCTGTAATACTGTTCCGGTGCCCAGACCGAAGCAGGTGGTTTTCTTAGGGGGCCACTCCCCGAGCCTTAGACCTAAAGGTCTGATCCACAAGGCAGTGCAGTATCGTGAGGCGATACACTCCCATGGTAGCCGGTGACCAGCGATTGGTTCATACGCCATTTGTTCCTGCAGGATACTGGAGCCCATGTGCACCATTGGTTTGGGATCCGGTTAGAGCGCCGGACATTCGCTTTTCGTCCTCTCATTTTCGTAAACAACACCCCCGCCACGAGAAGGCAGTGAGTAGGACTTCCCTGGCAGAGGCTGTATCCGCGTGGCCGTGTGCGAGCATTTCGAGAGGGGAGCGGGCCCACACATTTACTAAATTATTAAATCAATGAAGGCAGTTTATGAGTCAATGAGGAAAGTGTGTAGCGGTTAATAAATCCCCGTAATCAATAGTTCTGTAAGTCTTCGACGTTTGATGCTGACCACATCAGTTTTAATGGATTCACCTAGCTGAAGACGCTCGGTCACGCATCCGCACCAGATCACGAGTGAGAACGCCGTGCTCAACTTCTCCTGCAACCGCTAGCTAGTTTAGATCAGTACCTCTCGACATACTGATAACCTATCAAATATTTCTTCTGACCTTCCCACTTCTGACTTTTGATGGACAGGGTGGGCAGGATTCAATTATAGATGTTATTGGTTAAAGTGTTGTCAAACTGCAAATACTTGTGGCATCTTCAATAGTGAGCCGTCGTGATCTGGTACACCGACTCGGAAACTGTGAGTCTGTTCCTTTTTGGAACTTCATATATCATTGCTTTACTTTAATATTTATATACCCGACCGTAGCTGCTATCTTGACGCAGTCGTCGGGCTCGCCTATCGTGATGACCCAACCAAGCTATATTGGCTGGAACATATGTTCCTGTAGGTTCTACCATGCCAGGCAGGTCGATTGGAGAACAGTAAGACTAAAAGCAGCAACTCAAGGTCTGATGGCGAAGTCGTACTGCTGACTGCAGAGGGGTGTGAAAGCAGTAAAGTGTTTCCCTCGGACAACCAGCATCTGCAGCGATGCTGCCCTCCCACTAGGAGGGGTGGTGTTAGAAAAAGTGGACCCTAAAAATGTCACACCTCACCTTACCTCACGGATTTCCGTCTCCGGCGGCAAGGCCCTTTGAAGAACGGAGCTAAGGTACTTAAGTTCATGACTAATGCACCACCCTCCTTCCAGCTAATGCCGTGCTGGCCGAACGGCACCGAAGTCTGATTTTGCTGCGCAGAGGCTCACCTCACCTTATGAAACGCTAAAACGGTCTATTCTGAAACATGGAGATCTTACCGATGGACAAAAGTTAGATCAACTCCCCAATAACATCGATCTGTAACATGGCTCAGCAACGGACATGTTGTTACGAATGAGAAAGGTAACTGGTCAAAGGACTTTCGACGATGGCCTGCTTAAACAAGTTTTCTTGTCTAAGCTTCCTCAACAGGTGCAGACAGTGTTTCCTTTCAAAACAACGCTGTAGACGAGCTGGCTGCGTCTGCCGGTCGTATTCTAGAGATCACCAATACTTCTAACGCCGAAGTTTTTTCAGAGAAAAACCTCAAACCACGCGAAATGACGTTACGGAACTCTGTCATACTCTGACACGTTGCCTTCTCATTCGTCACGACCGTAAACGATCGCAAATCCCTCGAAGGGAAACCCTGCAATTTTCCGAACTCCAAACAGACCGACATGAAAAACGTTTCGGGAAACTGAATTTTGTTAACAAATGACTGCAGAGAAACAGCATCGTTGTAGACATTCGGAAACGTTAAATCGGCACCAACTCCGTCGGACATACTATTGATACTCAAGACATCCGACATCTGGGAAGCAAAGTGGCGGTCATTCTGGATTGCCCAGAATCGATCACAATCAAGCAACTACGCACGTTCGACGGCCGAGTGTTTCTATAGATGGTTCATACCAAGTTGCGCGTCCCTTATGAAACCTCTAACTGACCGACTTCGTCGCAATACTGAATCTATCAATTCGGACGACCATTGTATAGTGTGGTCGATAAGAGGACCCACCCATGATAACACGAAACGACCACCACCACGTTAACTTTCTTTGACCTTGTATGACTATGCCTCGTTTACTCACGAATCACAATTTCATGTTTACTATAAAATATTATTCGCTTCGTTGACTAATTTTTCCTATCCTGTAGCTACTGTTCGGTGTGTTATTTGTGTCCCTTCTTTTCCTTGGTTAGTAGACTGTATTGTTTATTTTTGTATACTGACAGTGTTAATTTACGTTTTAGAAACAGATAAAGTTTATCAAGCCAAATAACTTACTTGTTCTGACTTTAGCTAAGCTAAGACTTTGTGCGCGATAGTCTAGAGAACAGTTTAGGATTAAATCTATAGAAAATCACTTCCTACAAAGTTTAGGACAGTAAATTCAATATAACCACTGAAATGACTTCCAATAAGTACTTCAATTCTGATGAGCTTCCGGAGTCATCACCCATCATCTGGGATAATATGACCAACTTGAAAAGGATGAACCCGAAACCAATAACGTGATAGAACTAGAAAAGTTACATCACCAGGGAAGTAAAGATTTCGGCCCGTCAGTAAGCAACAGAGAATGCAGTATTAAAATATCTGTATTTACCAAAGAGGGAAGTCGTAAGATTTTATGGTAAACCGACAAATTATCGGAATTTTATTGGAAATTTCAAAGAATGCATCGGGAGCGAGAATATTGGATTTAGAGCTAAACTGAATTACTCGGTTCAATATTGTGACGGAGAAGCGAGAGCCGCTATCCTTCATTGTACTATGCTAAAACCGGAGATAGGTTATCATCAACCACTAAAGCTATTAGAGGAAACGTTTAGCCACGCACGTTTATAGCCAACTTGTTAAACTTTCTCATTATAAGAAGAAATCAACCAGGTTTGAGAATACTGTCTCAAGGAATGCAAGCATGTGGTCTGACTCTCAAACAGATGAATTACATTTCTGACTTGAACTCTCCCAGAACTATTAAAACTATGGTTCTGAAATTACCAACGCACGTTCAACAAAAGTGGTTGAAGGTAGCTTATAAGATTATCAGAGGAGGTCGAGAGCCTCTGTTTGTCGATCCTATTGAGTTTGTAAAGGGACAAGCTGATATAGCTAATACTGGACATGGACTACTTGTTAACCGCGGTAGTGTGGTGGACCAAAAAGTATAATAACCAAAAATTAGCAATAAAGTTATTACGTCCAAAAGTTAATGTAACAATAACAATTTATAAATTAGTAACACAAAATAAAAGTTCAGGGACATTACTTAAATCAGCTAGTTGTCGCGTATTCCGCTGAGTTTTGGTACCGAATTTCACAATTATAAATGAGTAATAACTCCGATGAGGTAAATGTGACTCCAGTAAGTTTCCTTGACGTAGGATGTAATAGAAATGGCACAACAGTCTAAAATGTGGATAATATTCGATTTAGAATGCAATTGGCTCGATAGCGTGTGAGAATAGAACAAGGAGGGTGTGTGTGTAGTAGTGTATTTGCGAACAACCACAAGTGTGTCACGCCATGTCAGTATCACAACAGAAAGCGTGTTCAAGGTCATTAACTAAAACAACAGGTACAATCATTTAATGATAAAATATACAGACGATGAAAGATTGACAAAACAAATACAAATAATATTAAAAACTATTTACAAAATAAGCCTGTCAGGCCTGTCTCCACATAGCTCCCCCCCAGAGTGTCCGAAGGTAACACTGGTTATAATAACAACAAAAAACAAAAAATTGTAACGATATGATATTTACATATATACAAAATAATATTTACAGTTATAACCAACAAAGAATTGTGGAGCAGCAAGG